AAACCTGGTAACACGCAACTATACTATATACATTGAGCTAAACTAGTGGAATGACATTCTTGTGTGCCATTCCACTCCAAATTCCAAGACTTTGGGTGGAGGGCTTATAGGCGGCGGTTTGCCAGGAGTGGTCACATATATTACCTGGCGCTCAAGTTATTTCAACATTAGAGTGTACTCTGCAAACATTGTTTTCCGGCAGCCAACATAAGGCAGTGTGAGAAGTTTTGCAGATTCAGGAAACGTCGCATAGAAGTAAATTCGCGCCAGTTACACGATATAAGGTACGATCATCAAAATTTCACGCAAAGCCATACGGCGCACCTGCTATACGTCGCTCTGGGCATTACCTGCTTCGCGCTTTCTTAACAGTGCTGCAACGTTTGCTTATCTATAATTGATGTTGAATGCTATAGTTATCAATAGCAAGACATCAATTTACATTCACTTGGAGAACTGTATTTAAAAGGTGTTTGATTAATTTTTGATTAGGCATGAACTCACTATTCGCAGACTCTATATAATCTTTTACGGCCGCCCGTTAATTCGGTTTCGATGCGTCTGTTCTCGGGCTATTTCTCGTCTTTATGGCGCTGCATGTAAGACTGACTTCGACGTCGATCTATTCCCCACTTCATCTTTGGCCATATTAGTACTTATAAACGCAAAAATTAATTACCATGAAAATAGCGAGTCCTTTGCTAAAGATGTGGCTGCTATATAGATGCTAGAAACTATCCTGATACACTCTTTGTGGGTTCAGCGCTACTTTTCTATGACCACTGCAACATCTTACGGAAGTGCCCCAGAAGCAGATGCATGTCTCAACAGTGCACACTTGCTGCAGGTAAACAAAAAAATATGTAACTGAATTTTGTGTGCGTGAAGCAGGAAAACTGCGTACATGTCTTGTAGAAAGCGGCGCGAGGAAAAGTGAGGCAATGTGGAAACATGTTTATTTTTCCCACTACCGAACTTGACAGCCTTCTGTGTCTCAAGAGGCTACTTTAGCTGTTGTATAAAAGGCGGGACTGTGCGAGAAAACTAGGAACACAGCAATGAATACCACGTACGCCATCAACTTCGAACGGTAAACGGAGTTCAGTCGATAGCAGCAGCACAGTCTCGAGGAAGACTGACGGTCGAAGTTTGTTTGAACTTAATAAGAGCCGTGAGAATGGTTCACAAGTAGAGCACCGATTATTTGCATAAAAACACTATTTTAATTAAAGGCAACCAAGGAGGGAAAATGCAGGAAATTACCCATGCAGTCGAACCTCGCAAGAACAAAGTAGCATCAAGACTATACATTAGTTCGTCATATCCAATATTTGTTCCAGCAGTAGACATAAATATCGGCTCTGACGAACTGGCTACCACTCTTGTGCAACAGTGCAAAAACAAAAACAAAACGCATTATTCTAGGCTTTCAATTGACTATAGATGGGGCAATCTTCACCTGTCTTCTTGTGAAATTTCAAACTTCGGTTCATACGGTGGTGAAACCAATCAAATTCACTTGTTTGCTTGATGACCAACACTTTCGAAATTTCATCGAATGATTAAAAAAAATTGTTCCTATATATTTAACTTGTTTTTTATTCTGCTTTTTAAAGGTACACTAAAGAGAAGCAATAACTTGGTTTAGATATAACCTGCAATCTGGGAACTTTAATGCCATAAGTTTCCCTGTAATAAGTTGATTATTAGCCGAAAAAATCATGAAGACAAAAGTTTAAATTTCGCGCCGAAATTTCCGTGCGTGACGTCACTAAATTAAAAAAAAAACTATTTTTTCGTACTTTCGCAACATTGGCTAGATGAAGTTTCCTGAAGCGTCGTATGTTACGTCTATGTCACCCACAGACGACAATGTACTTCATTTTCGTCGATTAGAAGCTACGTAGGACCCAGTATAGACACCTTCAAAATCTATGACGTCACGGTGTTTGGTGCGAGAATGTAAAGGTGCATGGCGTCTCCACCCGCATGTTCTTTTCACGCGTTTTCTCGCTTACTAGACGTCTCACGGTAAGAGTGGTATTTTCGGGATTGTGGAATTGTACTTTATTAATACGCAAAAAATTGTTTTGCTCTTTAGAGTCCCTTTAAAGGTCGAGATTTTCATGAACCAAAGATTTCCTCTTCGTTACAGGCAACGTAGCGTGGTTCATGCATTTGTAGCTTCGTCATGAAGAAAACTTTAATGTCTCTGAAATATTCACTATAGCCGATGATACAGTGCATCAGTGTTCGGTATATCGAGGTTCAACTGTACTTCTCACGGTTGCTGCGAATATTCACCTGTATGGAGAATAACGGCCTGGAAAATTACAGCCGCGCGGTTGTTGGCAGACAGCAGACTGACATGCGTTGCACGACGAGCATGCCAATCCATCCAGATATCACAGTGGGAAATAAAATCGCGCTTTCTTAAAAGAACCACCTGCACGCATACGTGCTTTTAATAGCAGTGAAATGAATCGCCTTTGAACGAGGACACCAACAGAACTTGCTAAGAATGTGCTTTCTTTTATTCGGAACTGTTGAGCACTTTCTCTAATGACAGCGTAGCACACGAGCTCCTCGTTCAGTCGGAGCTACTTATGCGCTGCGGTAACATTTCACTGCGCCCGGACGATGATGATGATGAAGAGGATGATGACGATGCGAAATGTGAGCACGTCGGGTAACACGCCCTTGTAAATAAAGCAAGGAATGAACGTTGAGGAATTCAGAGTTGTTCAGTCATACGAGTTGAGAAACTCTCCACGGTCTCCGTGTGTGAAAATTTCGACGCGCCATTATCCGAAGTCGAGCAGGCCTGCTGCTCGTATACTGTCACGTGGGCGTGGTTTTTCTGGTGCTGCGCCAGGCCGTTAGCAATGCCGTATTGAAGAAGCGAGGTGTGGCTCCAACTCTTCTCTCCACTCTCTGCGACGACCGCAGCGATCATGGCGATGCGACGTGTTTCATGCCATCGCCGTCAGACGGCGCTTCGTCACTTGGTTAGCCTCCGAATAATCTGTCCTCGTCCAGAGCGGAGTTTCCAAACTAGTACGCTTGAATAAATCTGAGAGGAACGGTCAACAACTGGCACTTTTCTATGTGGAATCGTTGCAGCATCTAGATGAACTGCCTGGTCGATGCTTCTTCGGGGCACCGTGAGTTTGTACGAGACGTGTGACGTCTCTTGATGGAGGAGCGTGTGCACACGCACGCGATGTTATGTGTACATGTGAGCAACGGTGGCACGTGAATGTTCTATGTACAGGCGCACTCAATCGTGCAGTCGGAGGAGTGTCTGCATTCACTGGATTGCAAGGGCTCGCTGAAAAGCCGATGATCGGTGGCAGTGAGAAACCCTCGCCCACGAAAAGAGAGACATATCTCCCAGAACGAATGCCAATAACTATAGGCGACACCACTGGCTTCGTACGGTGAGCTCCTACAGGCCATGCTGCGTAACCAAGCCGCCATTAAAATAAGCTCCCCTGCGTCTTCGATGTATACGACCATCTATTTATACGCGTTGCAAATTTCTTAAGTAAGTTCAAGAAGCTATGCCACTGAGGCACCTGTCTTATTTAGAGACAGACACTACGTCGACTCGCAAATAGTTTGCCGCTGATGGAGTGACACATAATTGATTAATCAACGAAAAGATTGTAAATAAATGTATCGCTACGAAGATTACGGCAGTTAAATATATGAGAAAGTTCGAGGGCGTTGCACTCTATACGGCACCCCCATTCTTTATGTTGAATTCCAATGGCAGAGTCAGAGCAGCCGATGGACTGGAAGCGAGCACTCGACCCTGGCTTAGAGCAACGCCTCCGAATCCGCGCTGCCGGAGCAAGCACGATGAGCGGAAGCCCTTGAGTTGCACAGAATACTTTGAACGTAGTTATTCCGTTCCGATATAATTGCGCTGTCGAATTACCGCTCGTACGCGGTATTTTCAGCATCGCTGTCCCTATGCGATGAACCACTCGTGCTGGAACTGGAGCTTTCCGACTCGGAGCTGTCGCTATCGAGCGGAGAAAAGTGATTCCGCATGATTTGCCCAGTCAGCCAAGTCGTCCACCGTTCCTGCCAAAACACGCGACAGTGGCGGCACCCCCAAAAGGGCGAATGTGTACATTACGCCGAGGTCCGGTCCGCTCCGCCACTTTCGGCGGAGTAACTTTCTCTGCTCCCCAGAGTCACTCCCGCTCCGAATTCCATCCGATTCTCTCATTGGAACACTTGACTGCCGCCCTCACTCTGCCATTGGAACGCTCTTGCTCTCCGAAATGAGCAGGAAAACTTGCTCCGATTCCGTCATTGAAATTCAACGTTAGATATGCAAGAAACCAGGATACTCATAACCGATTCAACGCCCCAATATCGAGAACGAGCTATGACCGGCCTGAGTGAATGCAGAAGTACCTTGTTGTGGGAAGCCCTACTTCTGTTTGGGCTTATCTGTTTTTTACAAGCTGGCGCTAGGAAACCTCTACGTCAATGTGAAATTCGTGAGCAACCACGTTTCTTCTTTGAGAGAGGCTAGTGTTTTGCGCATAATTATAATTTAGGAATCAGATTGTTCAGCCTTCATTTTCTCACTTGACAAAAAGCTCCCGGTTGTCACAACAGAGCGGCCACCTTTCTTTCGCGTACGGCGCAATCTGTTTCATCACCGCGGGGCCGCGAAGAATATCTCCAATTACCAGCCATTTGGGCCTTTTCTAGAAGAAATGGGTATGTCGAAAATCGTGACGTCCTACGATCTTCTCCTATCAATGAATCCCCTCAAGTTAATGATAAAAGAATAATTAACACTTTCTCTTAATTAGTCACCGTCATGTCACTTTAGCAGCGGCAAAGTACTGTATGCGAAACCAACACATACCTTTGTGGCATGGCATTTTTCAAGAGAAATCAAAGCACCCTGTCATGACGATAGTTATAGCGCGAGAACAAAACGACGACACAGAGACAAGAAGGACACTATGTCG